CCACTGCATGGCTGTAGCTGGGAAAATATAGGCTCTGGTGTACTTTGAAGGGTGAGAAAGGTGTAGGCTGCTGAGCGGAGAATGGATTGTGTGATCCAAGATGGAAGCAGAGGAACCAGTTAGAAGGTTATGAAGCAGTCTAGGAGAGAGACAATGGTGGCTTCGATTAGGGTGGAGTGGATGAAGATGGAGTCTACAGAACTGGCTGGTGGACTGGTGTGGAGATGAACTGAAGAGAGGACTCAAGGGTGACTCCTGGGATTTTGATAAAGCAGGTGAGTGGTTAATGTGCCATGGGGGAAAAGTCTGGAGATGAGAAATCAAGAGTCCTGCTTGGAATGAGTTGAGTTCGAGTTGCCCACTGGGCATCTATTTAATGTCAAGCCAGCCATTGTATAAAAGTCAAGAGCTCAGAGATGAGGTCGGACCTGGGTGGTTCATAGAACCCAGTGCACAACGGAAGAGACAGCCAGCAACCCCCTTCCACCCTTAACCCAAGTCCCCCTCTAGTCGTTGCCGTCTCTTTCCTCTTCTTATCCAAGCTTCTTGACAGAGAGATCTAGACTCATTTTTACCTCACTTCCCAAACTGCCACAGTATGGTTTTCATCCCAATAATTCAAAACCCTCTAGAAAAGTCCACAGTAGGTAAAATTTTGGCCCCATGACTTTCACCCTCTGGTGTTTACTCCCACAATTATGTTACATTATACGGCAGAGGGGACTTTGCAGATGTAACTCAGGTTACTAATCAGTTGACCTTAAGATAGGTTGACCACCAGGTGGGTCCAGTATTGTCACATGAGCCTTAAAAACAAAGAGGAAGGAAGAAGAAATGAGAGAGACTCAAAGCATGAGAAAGACTCAACTTCCATTGCTGGCTTGAAGATGGAGGGGGCCAGGTGGAAAGCAGGGGAAGAAACTGAATTTGGCCAACAACCCGTGAGTTTGGAAGAGGTCCCTGGGTCCCAGGTGAGAACTGCAGCCCCAGCTGACACCTTGACGTTAGCCTGGTAAGACCCCAAGGAGAGAATAGAATCTAGTTACACCCTGCTGGACTCCTGACCTACAGAAACTGTAGGACAGTAACTTTGTGGTCTTAAACTGCTAAATTTATGGTATTTGTGAGAAACGGTATAGTCTCTAGTGACCTCATATTGTCAATGTTACTGGGTTCTTTTCAGCCTTTGTTTGACTTAATCCCTTCATGGTATGCAATAATGCCAACTACTTCCTCCTTGAAAACTTTTTTCCCCTCTCCTTTCGTGACGTTATCCTGATATATATATATATATATATATATTTTTTAAATGTTTATTTATTTATTTGGCTACACCAGGTATTTAGTTGTGGCATGCGGGATCTTTTAGTTGCGGCATGTGGGATCTAGTTCCCTGACCAGGGATCGAACCTGGGCCCCCTGCATTGGGAGCAGGGAGTCTTAACCTCTGTACCACCAGGGAGGTCCCCTCCTGATACGTTTTGGATATCAGCCTCAGACAGTGCCTTCTGAGGCTGAATCATCTTCCTGCTTGGCCCTTTAATGGACATGCCTCCAGGGGCCCCACGCTTGGTCTGTTCCTCACACTTTAATGTCTCTCTCCTTCAGATCTAAATGTCCAACTGCCCAATGGATATCACCTGGACCTCACACTCGACATAGCCAAAGGCCAGGATCTGAACCAGGGTAATAGTGAGAGTGGAGATGAAGATGTGTGGACAGATTGCTGAAACCTGTAAGAGGTAGAATCCAGGGTTTAGGAGGTGATTAGTTGGATCTAGGGATAATGGAAAGGGAGGAATTGAGGACGACTTCCAGGTCTCTTGTTTGGGCAACTAAATAGATGGTGTTGCTCAAAACTGAGAGAGGATTACAGGGCTCGGGTGCTGTGAAGAATTCAGTTATTGACATGGGGAGGTGGAAGCATTATGGAACCCTCAGGTGAAGATGTACAGCAGGCCACTGGACATCTGGATATGGAGCTTGAAGGAAGGAATCAGAGACATCCATTTGGGTGCCACCTGTATATTGTGTTGATAAAACTAGAAGCCTACAAGAGAGGACCAGTGTGAGTCGTGTAAGCCAAGTGTGGAGCCCTGGGGCACACCTCCATTAACGGAACAGGTACAGGAAGAGGATTTAGTCTAAAACACCTGGGAGACATCCTCAAGAGGGAAAGAAATGTACTAGAAAAACATGTGGTCATGGAACAAGATGAGAAGTGGTTTTCAAGAAGGAGGAAACGATTGGCACCAGCAAAAGCTGCGGAGAGGTCAGATAAGATAAAGGCTGAAGAGATACACTAGGTTTGAGAATATGAGGTCACTGGGAACTTTGCTAGGGGAGTTTGAATAAATTGTTGGGGGGGGGCAGAAGCCATACTGTGGTGATTTTGGAACTGAGGAAAAACTAAAACCACCCAGTTGTGTTACCAAAACCCCAGGAGTCCTCCCTGGTTCATCTCTTTGATGTGTTTATATCTCTGTAGATTCTTGGATATTGGTTTTATTCTTTAAAATGACGTGTGGATCCCTTTTTGTCTTATTTCCCAGTTTTGGAAATTTTTTCTCATAGCAGTAAAGGTGTTCTAATATAGGACAGTCAAAAAGAATGACAGATGTCCACAAGAGTGGGTGGTTTTGGAAGGATCACAATCAACAAATTGAACTTCCTCAAAATTAAAAAAATTTTTTCTCTTCTAAACACCCTGTTAAGAGGATGAAAAGACAAGCCTAGACTAGGAGGAAAATGTTTACCAAACGCAAATCTGACAAAGGAGTTGTGAGCAGAATGTATAAAGAATGCTCAAAACTCAATTTTATGGACTAGGCAGTGGTTTCTTCTTACTATTTTTTAAAATATTTATTTATTTGGCTGCACTGGGTCTTAGTTGCAGCGTGCAATCTTCAGTGCAGCATGCGGGATCTAGTTCCCTGACCAGGGATCGAACCTGGGCCCCCTGCATTGGGAGCGCAGAGTCTTCGCCACTGGACCACCAGGGAAGTTCCTAGGCAGTTGTTTCTTAAAATGACACAAAAAGCACAAGCAACCAAGAAAAAACATAAATTACATCTCATCGAAGTTAAACACTTTTGCTTGTCAAGGGACACTACCAAGAAAGTGAAAGACAAGCCACAGAATGGGAGAAAATCATGGACAAGACAGGGGGCTAGTATCCAGAATATATAAAAACTCAACCCAATTTAAAAATGACCAAAGTATTCGAATAGACATTTCTCCAGAGAAGATACACAAGTGGCCAATAAGCACATGAAAAGCTGTTCAACATCATTAGTCAGGCATCAGGTAACTGCAAATAAAACCCACAATGAGCTACCACTTCACACCTATTAAGATGGCTATAGTTTTTGTAAACATAAAATAATCAGTGTTGGTGAGGATATGAAAAAATTGGAACCCCCGTATATTGCTGGTAGAAATGTAAAATGGTGCGGTTTCTGTGTAAAACACTTTGGCAGTTCCTCAAAATGTTAAACATAGGACTTCCCTGGTGGTGCAGCGGTTCAGAATCCACCCGCCAATGCAGGGGACGCAGATTCCATCCCCGGTCTGGGAAGATCCCACATGCCGCGGAGCAACTAAGCCCGTGTGCCACAACTACTGAGCCTGCGCTCTAGAGCCCCCGAGCCACAACTATTGAGCCTGCGTGACACAACTACTGAAGCCTGTGCGCCTAGAGCCTGTGCTCCACAACAAGAGAAGCCACTGGAGAAGCCTGAGCATCGCGACGAAGAGTAGCCTCTGCTTGCATCTAGAGAAAGCCCGTGCGCAGCAACGAAGATCCAATGCAGCCAAAGAAAAAAAAAAAGTTAAACATAGAGTTACCATATGACCCAGCAATTTCATTCCTAGGTATCTACCTAAGAGAAATGAAAACATATGTTTATACCAAACTTGTACACAAATGTTCACAGCAGCATTGTTCGTAAGAGTCAAAAAGTGGAAACAACTCAAATGTCCATCAACTGATGAATGGATAAACAAAATGCCTGCTACCCATATATAGAAAATTATTCAGCCATAAGAAGGAATGCAGTACTGACACATGCTACAACACAGATGAACCTTGAAACCATTATGCCGTGAAAGAAGCCAGTCATGGAAGGACAAATACTGTGTCACTCCACTTACATGAAATATCTAGAAGATGCAATTACAGAGAAAGAAAGCATATTGGTGGTTGACAGGGACTGGGCCAATGGGGGGGTGGGGCTTGACTGCTAATGGGTGGTGCTTCCTTTTGGGGTGAGGAAAACGTTGAAAATTAGATTACAGTGACAGCTGCACTATGAATATAGTGGCCCTGTGAATATACAAAAAACCACAGAATTGTACACTTTAAACGGGTGAATTTTAGTTATGTAAATTAGATCGCAATCAAGAAGTTGCCTTTCCAAATTATAGGAACCAGAATCATCTTACCCCATTAATTTCACGAACCGGTGCCCAGGAGTCCCTAGAATGTCGGGCAGTGGGCTAGGTGCTGGGAGGATGGAGAGATGAATGAGATTGGACGAGTCTGAAATGGGGCCTTGGTGCTAAACGGGTTGTATAGTTGGGCAGTGATTAAAACCCTAACTCAGGGATTAAAGAAATCCACCTTAGAATCCACTGATGAGAGTGTTCAGATTATTTGGCCTTGGGCTCATTTCTCCTCTCCAGTTCTGCCAAACAGGGATGAGAATTAACACTTTATTCCGAGGGGGTTCGGAGTAGAAATAGAAACAGATTAACAACTGGGAAGCGCTCAGTACCTGCTGGGGGCCCCCAAGGTTATAACCCCCAGGCTGTGGTGGGGAAGTGTATTTTTAACCCAGCGAACGTGGGGCTGAGTCGGGGTCTCAGATTCCCGGCTGGGGAAAATTTCGCCCGCAAGGGGAGGAAGTGGGTTTCATGAGGGCCGGCGCGGGCGCGCGCCCCCGCTTGCTGGAGCACGCGCCCGGCCCTGGCTCACGCGCGCGTCCTGGCGGTTGCCTAGCAACCGGGTGGCGTGGAGAACGCGCGATCATGGAGCCGCCCGCCCTGACAGTGAGCGCCGCGGTCCGGGAGCACCTGCGGAAGTTGTGTCTGCACGAGTTCCCGTGCGGCACGGGCAGCTGGGTGCGGGTGCTGGCGGGGCGGCTGGAGGAGGGGCTCGGGGCTCTGGGGGACGGAGGGGACTGACCAGGGGCCAGGCCGGGGCCTAGGGGCGGAGAGCGGGGTCGGGGTGGTGCTGGCCCCGGGTGCTGAGCGGGCCGCCAGCCCCAGGAGTTGGCTGGTCTGGAGAAACCTGAGAGGATGTTTGCGTCTGGGCATTTAGGGAGCGTCCTGACCGGGGTGGTGGGGGGATGGGGATGGATTGTGGGAACAGGGACACTGCAGGGGTGGACGGGATAGGCCCCCCGGGGCCTGTGGGCGCTGACGCAGGGTGGAGGGCAGGGACCCCCCCCCACCACCACCACCAGAGCAGGACCCCATCCTGAGCGCATCAGGCGGATCTGGGGCAGGCGACTGGCTGTCTTAAAGACACCGGGCTCCTTTGGGGTGAAAAGCTCATCCTGAGAGCAAGGTTTGCAGTTAGGACCCTGCTGTGCTGTGGCCACAGGGGCCATCCTCATCACCTAAGTGCACAAGGAGCATGACATTGAGAACCCGGGGCTTCCCAGGTGTGCCCGGAAGTCTTGAGTCCCGAAGGGTTCCCGGGGACTTGGTGGGAAGCTGGGGCCCCACCTACTCTTGTCGGCTGGTGTCCAGTTTCATAGAAGAGAAAACTGAGATACCAGTCAAGGAACTAATTTATTTGTTTCAACAACAAACATGGATTGGGCACCTACTGTGTGCCTGGCATTGTGCTGAACTTGGGGGTTTCATAGATAGATGTCTCTCAAGAGGAAGGAGTGGGAGAGAGTAAACTCCAGGACTGAAATCTTTCATCCTCCACTTACGGCATCTAAAGGTTCTGAATTTACCTTTGCAGGCTTTGCCGCCTCTTCTTCAAAAACCTTTCCTTGGCTCGTTACAGCCCACAGATTGCCTTTTGCACCTCCTGGCTTCTAAACTCTCCCTGATTGTCCTGTTCAACAATCGATTCCATTTTGAGAGTTTTGAGTCCTTGAGAGGGGCTGAGTCATAACGAGAGAAATTCTCTGCCTCCACCTCTGCAGAATAAGTCGCGCTTTCTTCCTCAAACTTACCGAGCATGGCGGGAGCTGATCCCCCGAGAGGAGGACGCTGTGGGCCCCGGGGAGGAGACGGTGGATGCCCTGCTGGGCCTGGTCTGCAGCCCCCACTCACCCTGGGCCCTGCTGGAGGGCTCAAGCGCTGAGGACCGTTTTCTGAGAGAGCTGGCCATCCAGAATCCCCTGATGCTCAGCGACAGCTTCTTCTACACCTACTTCAGGTCGCTACGGGTGGTGGACAAGCAGGTGAGCACTGGGGGCGAACACCAGGTACAGGGTTGGTGTTAGGGGGGGCCATTCCCCTTACAGGCCTTGGTGGTAAGACCTAGCTCTGCCCTCCCCTGATTAATCTCACCAGCTTGTCCACAGAGCAGGGCCAACAATCCTGGCGAGCTGGCCTAGTCTGTTACCCCAGAGAAGGCAGGCCCAGCCGGGAAGGGCCCCTAATGTCCTTGAAGCCAAAGTCAACTGAGGATTCACAGACCCCTGAAGCTTCTGATCTGACGCTGCTGGGTGTAAGCTAGAATGATTCCTTAAGACCATAGGATTCACTGTGGCTCTGGGGTAGACAGCAGAGAAGATGGGATTCCTGGCTTCAGGAGCTGACAGTCCAACAAGGGACACAGGACATGAGCTGGAAGTTGTCCAACACCTACAGTCAGAGGAGGGGTGAGGGTTGAGAGGTGACAGGCCACTGCGGCGGCCGAGGCACCCGAATCCTGGCAGGAAAGGCGTGCAAGAGAAGAAAGGGTTTGGGGTGTGGGGCGGTCACTCTCTGCAGATGCACGTGCCATTGCCGTCCTCACTCCAGTGCCGCCTCACGCACTGGAGCTCTGTGCTCCCTTTCCTCCCTTCCAGGTGAGCCTGGTGGACAAGGACGTCCTGAAATTTGTGAAGCTTGAAGCGTTGGTGCTGAGTGCTAATCAAATCCAGGAGATTGACGCCACCAACCTGCCCCCAGCTCTCAAGGTAAAGGAGCCCAGGTTCCACGCCAGGTCTTGGAGCCAATGCTGCCCAGAGGCCCTGCCCCTCCTCTGCCCCCCCCGCCCCCCACAGAAGGTTTGGCCATCGTGACTGTGCTAAGGGCCAGCCTCAGGCTTTGGAGAGGTAGGCCTGATCCCTCAAAAAGTTAAACCTAGAATTTCCACATGACCCAGCAATTCCCTTCCTAGGTATACACCCCAAAGAATACAAGGCAGGAATCAGACAGATTCCTGTACGCCAGTGTTCACAGCAGCGCTATTCACAATAGCCAACAGGTGGACACAGCCCGCTTGTTATCAGCAGATGAATGGAGCGGCAAAATGTGGTCCCTCCACACCGTCGTAAAAAGGAATGACATATGTACAACATGGATGACCTCGAAAACATGATGCTGAGTGAAGGAGGCCGGACACAAAAGGCCACGTATTAGATGATTGCACTGCATGAAATATCTAGAAGAGGCAAATCCATAGAGACAGAAAGTAGATTAGTGGTTACCAGGGGGAAGGATTGGGGAGTTATAGCTTAATGGGTACACAGTTTCTGTTTGAGTAATGAAAAATTTTGGAAATGGATAGTAATGATGGTTGTACATTAAGTGAATGTACTTAATGCTGCTGAATTGTCCACTTAAAAAGGGTTGAAATGGCAAATTATATATATTTTACCACAATAGAAAAGTTTTAAAAAGAGGTAGGCCAGGCTTTTTTTTTTTTAAGAATACTTTATTTTTAATAAATTTATTTATTTTTGGCTGTGTTGGGTCTTCACTGCTGCGCGTGGGCTTTCTCTAGTTGCGGCGAGCAGGGGCTACTCTTAGTTGCGGTGCGTGGGCTTCTCATTGCGGTGGCTTCTCTTGTTGTGGAGCACGGGCTCTAGGCGCACGGGCTTCAGTAGTTGTGGCACGCTGGCTCAGTAGTTGTGGCTCGTGGCCTCTAGAATACAGGCTCAGTAGTTGTGCCTCACGGGCTTAGTTGTTCCACGGCATGTGGGATCTTCCCAGACCAGGGCTCGAACCCGTGTCCCCTGCATTGGCAGGCAGATTCTTTTTTTTTTTTTTTTTTTTTGCGGTACGTGGGCCCCTCACTGCTGCGTCCTCTCCCGTTGTGGAGCACAGGCTCCAGACACGCAGGCTCAGCGGCCATGGCTCACGGGCCCAGCTGCTCTGCGGCACGTGGGATCCTCCCAGACAGGGACACAAACCCATGTCCCCTGCATCGGCAGGCAGACTCTCAACCACTGTGCCACCAGGGAAGCCCGGCAGGCAGATTCTTAACCACTGTGCCACCAGGGAAGCCCCAAAAAGAGGTAGGCCAGGCTTTATTACGAGTCTTCAGCTGAGCATATCAAAATGGTCTCAATTTTAAATTAAATGCTGAGACTAGTAGATTTTGTGGCAGAAGAGGCTCAGAAGTATGGCTCAGTACTGGGCTCAAGAAGAAAGCGGGCAAGGCCTTGGAGGAGAAATACAAGAACTCTGTAATCTTTGGGTTTATTCCCTATTTCAGCCAGGGGCCCTTTGGCTTTGCCAGAGACAACTGCCATGAGTCGAGAAATTGCAAAAATGTTAACTCGGGGCTTCCCTGGTGGCGCAGTGGTTATGAATCTGCCTGTCAATGCAGGGGACACAGGTTCAAGCCCTGGCCCGGGAAGATCCCACGTGCCGTGGAGCAACTAAGCCCGTGCACCGCAACTACTGAGCCTGTGCGCCTAGAGCCCATGCTCCACGACAAGAGAAGCCACCACAATGAGAAGCCCGCGCACCGCAATGAAGAGTAGCCTCCGCTCGCCACAACTAGAGAAAGCCCACGCGCAGCAACGAAGACCCAACACAGCCAAAAATAAAAATAAATAAATTTTTAAAAAGTGTTAACTCATTTCCTTTCCCACTCTCTCCGACATCACCTCCACTCCATATTTTAAAGTTTCCTTCACAACAGGAAAAGAGACTTTTTTTTAATTTTTAAGATTAATTTTTATTGCAGTATAGTTGCTTTACAATGTTGTGTTAGTTTCTACTGTACAGCAAAATGAATCAGTTATACGTATACATATATCCCCTCTCTTTTGGATTTTGGTCCCATTTAGGTCACCACAGTGCATTAAGTAGAGTTCCCTGTGCTCTACAGTATGTTCTCAGTAGTTACCTATTTTATACATAGTATCAATAGTGTATATATGTCAATCCCAATCTCCCAATTCCTACCACCCCCACTTTCCCCCTTGGTAGCCATACATTTGTTCTCTACATCTGTGTCTATTTCTGCTTTGCAAATAAGATCATCTATATCATCTTTCTAGATTCCACATATATGCATTAATATATGATACTTGTTTTTCTCTTTCTGACTTGCTTCACTCTGTATGACACTCTCTGGGTCCATCCACGTCTCCGTAAATGACCGAGTTTCGTTCTTTTTATGGTTGAGTAATATTCCATTGTATATATGTACCACATCTTCTTTATGCATTCCTCTGTTGATGGACATTTAGGTTCCTTCCATGTCCAGGCTACTGTAAATAGTGCTTCAATGAACATTGGGGTGCACGTGTCTTTTTGAATTATGGTTTTCTCAGGGTATATTCCCAGTACTGGGATTGCTGGGTTGTATGGTAATTCTAATTTTAGTTTTTTAAGGAACCTCCACACTGTTCTCCATCGTGGCTGTATCAATTTACATTCCCACCAACAGTGCAAGAGGATTCCCTTTTCTCCACACCCTCTCCAGCATTTATTGTTTGTAGATTTTTTTTTAAATTTATTTATTTTTGGCTGTGTTGGGTCTTCGTTGCTGCGTGCGGGTTTTTCTCTAGTTGTGGAGAGTGGGGGCTGCTCTTCATTGCAGTGCGCGGGCCTCTCATTGCGGCGGCCTCTCTTGTTGCGGAGCATGGGCTCTAGGCGCACGGGCCTCAGCAGTTGTGGCTCGTGAGCTCTAGAGCGCAGGCCCAGTAGCTGTGGCGCACAGGCCCAGTTGCCCCACGGCATGTGGGATCTTCCAGGACCAGGGCTCAAACCTGTGTCCTCTGCATTGGCAGGTGGATTTCTAACCACTGCGCCACCCGGGAAGCCCTGTTTGTAGATTTTTTTAAATGATGGCCATTCTGACCGGTGTGAGATAATACCTCACTGTAGTTCTGATTTGCATTTCTCTAATGATTAGTGATGTTGAGCATATTTTCTTGTGCCTCTTAGCCATCTGTATGCTCACTTTGGAGAAATGTCTATTTAGGTCTTCCGCCCCGCCCATTTTTTGATTGGGTTATTGGTTTTTTTTAATATTGAGCTGCATGAGCTGTTTGTATATTTTGGATATTAATCTTTCGTCAGTTGCTTCATTTGCAAATATTTTCTCCCTTTCTGAGGGTTGTCTTTTCATCTGAAAAGAAACTTTCTGACACCTGCTGCGGGAATATTTTCTTCCAGGATTCTTAGAAGGGGGTCCAGGTAGGCACAGGGAGACGAGGCATGAGTACTTCGTAATTCCTCTCCTGAGTTGCCCAGGGTGGAAGCAGGGAGTGGATTCCGTTTTGTCTGGGCTCATGGGCTGTCTTTCCACCCGCGTCGCAGGTGCTGGAGCTCTACGGCAACAAGATGACCAGCATGGAGTGTCTGTGCACCCACCCGCCCCCAAGGCTCCAGCACTTGGGGTTGGGTCACAACAAGCTTCTGGGCCCCCTGGAGAGTCTATACGTCACCAGTGATTACTGGTAACTCGGGAGCCCCACGTGGAAAGAGGGAGGGAGGGGTCGAGCATTAGATTTGGGCCATTCTATGCTGGTGACTTGGAGAACTCAGCTTTGTTCTTTTCTATAATAACTCCTGGTTGACTGCTAAGTCTGGACCTAGGATTTATTTCTCTGACCCCATAAACAAAAAACCCCCTGAGGCCCAGGGAAGGACACCAAGAGGTAGTGGGAATGAGTGGGACCTTCTGCTTCAGGGTTTCTGTTGACACTCAGGCCAGTTAATTCTTGGTTGTGAGGGCCATCCTGGGCACTGCCGTAGGTGGAGCAGAACCCCCAGCCTCTACCCACCAGATGCCAGTAGCACCCACCCCGCACCAGCTGCGACAGCCAGCAGGTCTCCAGACAGCACCACATGTCCACTGGGGGGCAGAACCACCCCCAGCTGAGAACTGCTGCCCTACAGACAGCTCTCGGTTAGACCTTGTCTTCTTGGTGGGTGAGCAGTGGGAAACTGAAACGCTGGATCTGAGGAGTCTCAGGGCCTCAGATACCATCCGTGAAAATCCATCAGAGGAAGCGGGGCCAGGGAGGCCTGTCAGAGAAGCTCTGAGGATTCCTGGGGCTCAGCATCCTGGGCAGCACTTCCCCGGGCTGACGTTCATGACTGTTCCTTTCTTCACAGCCCAGAAGGGGCACGAGGCGCAGGGCAACATCGCTGCCCTGTTTCCCAGGCCTCCTGGGAACGTGCTCGTGGAAGGTCCGTCTCTCTGACCCTAATTTCCTCCTTCCTCCCCTTTCCCTACTCTTGGCCAAGCTGCCTCTTCACAGCCTTGGCCGTGTACAATTCCGGATCCCTTCCCTCCACTGACCTCAGCCGTCAGGGTGTGTAGCACAGGAAGGAAACATACACTTTGGACTTCGTGTGACAGCTGAGTTCAGGCTCGTACCATGGACAGAGTTCTAAGTGTTCTGGATTTTGATTTGGAAAACAGACTTCCGGTAACATAACCTGCTTCATGCTGAGTATGGATTTCATAGCAACACATGCGTGTGTGAAACCTCCGTCTTTTGCTGTTTTGAATTTAAAAGGATTCACTTCCTGCGAATCAATTTTGCTGAGGTTTCCACCAGTTCTCTTGAAGGAGGCTGATATTGGGTAGAATCTGTGTGCCGGTCAGCATGAAACGTTCTTCTCGGGTGTTTTCGTCACTGGCTGGCCAACATCGCGGGCAGGATGGGAGGGGGGAGGGAGGGGAGTTGAAGTTCCTGAACTCCACAGCTGGGAGGCCATCACACGTGATGGCGGGATTGTGTGATGCCTAGTCCCCTCGTGGGTTTGGGTTCTGTTTGTTTGTTTTTGCACCTCTGTTCTCAGGGCTGAAATTGATTTGCTTTCTGCTTTGTGCAGCAGGAAGGCCCTCTCCTCCAGGTCGGGGTGCAGGGCACCTCCTCTGTCCTCACTGGCCAGTTCTTCTTCACCCACGTCCCCCAGGAAATGAACCAGATGGCTTCCTGTGGTCACGCGCTGGTCTGACTCTGGAGAGCGTCCTCCAGCTTTAGACCCCTCGAGCCTCATGCACCCTCTTCCCAGGCCCCCCTATTTACCGACCTCTCCTACCCCCACCCACTGCTCCTCCGCTCAGAGGCTCCCCTCCACCTTCCTCGCCAGTTTGTCCCTCTCTGCTGAGAGCCTTCTAGATGCACAACCCCGTATTAGGCTCTATGGGAGATAGACGGTTAACTGAGAAGAGGTCTGTATACGTAGAAGTCCGGTAGAGGCGGGATGTGGCGGCGGCCACCTCTATGCCACAGTAAGGAGGGAGGCCACTGGGAGAACCAGGAACCCCTTTCCAACAGGGGGGCTAACCCAGGTCAAGGGCAGCACAAGGCTTGAGAGTCGAGCATGGGCACAGCCTCCCATCCCGTCCTCAGCCCCAGGTCTTGTCCATCAGGGACTCGGGGTGCTGGGGGATGCAGGTACCGTGGCAAGATCACAGCTACCTGTCCCCACCCCTTTGCTTACCTGGCCTCTTGACTTCCGGCAGTCCCACTCACCTTCCAGGCCCAACCTCATCTCCCTGGACCTGAGCTTCAACGACCTGACGGACCTGCAGGGCATGGTGTCCGGCCTCCAAACGCTGCAGCGCCTGAGGTTGCTCGTGCTGCAGGGGAACCCGCTGGCCCTGGTGCCCTGCTACCGGGGCTTCATCATCGACGGCCTGTCTGGCCTCTGCGTGCTGGACGACATCACCGTGGCACCCAGCGAGAAGCATCTGTTCCGTGGGCTCAGCCACAGCGGGGGTGAGGGAGCCGATGTGCAGGGCAGGGTGGGGGGCTAGGGGGACCTGCTGGCCCGACCATCACCCTACTGGCTGCACGTGTCTGTCTGTCATCCAGCTCCCTGGCTGACCCAGACCCTGGTCAGGTGTAGGTCACCTTCTTGGTCAGAGTTCTCTCCCAGATTTTGATCGTCGTGATTGAGATTTGGCGACAGAAATGGTAGGGAGGCTGGGACCATCACAGTCCCCTCCTTTCCTAGACAAATGGGAAACATTCTTTAAATTAGTTTCTTGGCGTCCGTGGTGGCTTGAGATCACCCCCTTGTGGCTCACAGCACAAGCTGCACCAGAGCCTTCTCAAGGTCAGGGTGACAAAACATTGATAAAAATAGCTACGCCTACTGAGTACCAGCATGGGCTAAGGTAACATAGTCTCCATCTGTAACTCTCCTGCAAAGAGGCTACTACCATTCCCATTTTACACGTCAGGAAAACAAGGCTTAAGAGTGGCCTCTTGCCCAAAAGAGACTTACCCCAAATCACGGGTGTGTTGAACTTGGTAGAGCTGGGATTCGAACCCAAGTCTGCAGAGTGAGGCTCAGCCCTGTTCGGAGGAAAGAAGGCAGGAGCTGAGCTCGCCTGCCCTCCCCTGCTGTCTGCCTGCCCAGTCCCTCCCCGCAGCTCCCCTCACCCCTGCCCGTTCCCCCCTGCAGATCTCCTGGCGCATGAGGCGCGGTTAGTGGTGACTGTTGGACATGTCAGAGGGGTTCTGGACTCCTCGGTCTTGGACCCGGAACCAGGGCCCCAAGGCCCTTTCATCACTTACAGCTATTATGTAACATACGAGTTTGTGGAAGATGAGGAAGGCGAAGGAGATGAATACGGCCGCGTGCTGGCTGAGGTGTGTCCGTGGGGGCTCTGCTCTCGGGTCCTCAGGGGCTCCTGTGCAGGCACAACGGCTTTGGGGACCCAGGAAAACCCTTAACGTGGATCTTTCCAATTCATACCCTACTCTGAGCAGGAAACTGGCTTCCGCTCAGCCTGTTTCTTGCAGCCGGAGTAATTCTCAACCGTGTTCACCCCTTCCCATCCCCCCTGAAATGGGAGCAAAGGACATAACAAGGGAGCAGCCCAGAGTTTCGCGACTAGGCTGCTGGCTTCCCCACCACGTTCTCCAGCTGCCCCTACACCTCCCGGCTCCCTTCCTGTCACAAGAAAACCCAACGGTGTCATCCCACTAGGAGAAATGCCTGGGGCCAGGACTTCCCTGGCGGGCCAGTGGTTAAGACTCTGCGCTTCCATTGCAGGGGGCGCGGGTTCGATCCCCGGTCGGGGAACTAAGGTCCCATGTACCGCAGGGCGTGGCCAAAAGAACCAAAAATACACGAGGGTCCCCAGCTCATGTGGAAGTTGTTACTATTTTTACTGTTAACATAGAACTTTCAGGAAAAAACAGGACTGGTAATTTTTTTTATAACTTCCTGCCTCCTAAGTCCACGTGTTTGCTTTGCTTCACATCCATCAAACACTGGTGCCCATTTACACCACGTTCGCATAGTGTCAGGTGAGAGCTCTGAGGCCAGCGGCCCTGGACGTGTTTTCGTGTCTTCTGTGGCAGATCGTCAAGCCCCCGCCCAGCAGGGAACAGCTGGGTGAGGACATTCCCAAAGAGCCCATCAAAGAGGCTGAAGACTCTGTAGGGTCTGGGCTGGCCTCCCAGTCCCAGTCCAGGGAGCTGGAGGAGTCCGGCGCCTCAGCGCCCTTGCCGCGGCCCATGGACTCTGCGGAAGAGCAGGCCAAGCTGCGGCCGCGCCTGGATCCCCGGCTCTGGCCATCCCCGGGGTAAGGATGCTCACCGGGCTGGGAACAGGGCCCAGACCACACCTGCGTTTATCGTTCTGCATTCTACTCTGTCCCCTGCCCTCCCTGACCCCGCAGCCTCACGCTGTGCCCACATGTGCACATCTTCTCAAAGTGCCCTCCCAGCCTTGTCCCTGGTCCCCAGCACAGCCCCCTGGGTGATGGCCCCCATGTCTCCATCTCCCCTCCCCAAGGACAGTTCTCTTTAGCACAGTCCGCAAGCCCTGGTCTGACGTCATCCCCTGCAACTACGAGATGCAGCACGTGCTCAAGGACCTGGTGCGGCTCAAGGCCTTCCTGCTCTCAGGGACCACCGTCACCATCGTGGAGGAGAAGGTGGGAGGCTGGAATTCTCCAGGGGTGGTCTTTGACTTCTCTGCCCCACTTCTCCTCTGTTCCGCTCTTCTGTCGGGCATCTGTAGCCCTGCTCCCTTGTTGGCAGGGTCTCGGTGCCTTTCCAGAAAGATCCTGGCTAGCTCCAACCCAGCTTCTGTCCCCTAGATTCTCTCCTGGCCTGCGGTGCCGCCTTCCCCCAACAGTCCCTCGGCTGCTAAGAAGGGAAAGGGAGAGAAGGACAAGAAAGGGAAGGAGAAAGACAAGGAAGAGAAAAACAAGAAGGGAAAAGATGGGAAAGACAAAGCAGGCAAAGGGGAGAAAGAACCAGCCAAGGTGCCTCTGTGTGGGGCGGCCGGGGGCGGGGCTGCTCCCTCGGTCCCCTGCTCCCCGCTTCCACTCGCCCAGCCTCTCCCCACAGGAGCAGAAGGGGAGCAAGAAGAAGGAGCTTCGTAAGGATCTGCGCCAGGACCCGCCCGTCCTCCGGGTGCTGGGCAGTGGCCCGGTGGACCTGGAGCCCCTGCTCTCCGGGGAGCCATTCGTGTCCACCGTGTGCAACTTCGGGGTGGTCCGTACCTTGGAGACCGACAGGCTGACGCTTTACAGGGTACAGCAGTGCCCCTGGCCTCCCCTGCCCACAGAAGCCTGGCCAGGCTGTGGGAGGGAGGGGGAGACGGGGAGGGGGAGGGGGCCAGAACCACAGGAGGGGGCGCTGGAGGGGTGACGCAGCAAGGGTCACCTGCATGGTGGGTGGCCTTCTCGAGTGCGAGGGGCCAGGCAAGCGGGCAGGTCGGGCAGCTGCTCCCCAGGAGACCAGGAGAGGCCCTGGCGGGGGTGAGAGCACCCACCCTTTCCCCAGCATCCCCCCACTCCAGCAAGGAACTTATTTTGTGGTTCTTCCTCTCAGGATTCAAAGAAGAAGAAGAGTGAGAAAGCTAAAAATGGTAAGACCGATGATGGTAACAGGGCAGGGGGTGTTTACTGAGGACCAGTCCTAGTCCGTTCAGGTCGCTGTGAAATTCCACAGCGTGGGTGGCGTGTAAACAACAGACATTTATTTCCAGCTGCTCTGGAGGCCAGGAAGTCAAAGACCAAGTTGTCAGCAGCGTCAGGTGAGAGTCCTGTTCCTGGTTCGCGCCTTCTTCCTGGGTCCTCACCTGGCGGAAGGGACCAGCGGTCTCCCTCTGCCCTCATGATGTAACCGCCTTCCAAAGGCCCCGCCTCCTAATATCATCACCTTTGGGGGCTGGGATTTCAACATATGAATTTGGGGAAGGGCACAAATATAGCAGGACTTGCTGAGGGATCAGCCTGATTGGGGACCAAAGGAATGGAAGGATGGAGAATCATATCTTCCAGCCGGTGGGAGGGAGGGCCATGTCTACCCTGATGAACAAACCCTGTGTCTTCCCTGCAGCCCTGCTGCGGTCATGACATGGGCAGGACAGGCATTCTGGGGTAGGGGCCAGGAGGGAATGAGTAGGGAGGCCCAGGGTTGGGAGTGTCCAGGGTTGGGAGTGTCCAGGGTCCTTCTGGCTCAGCGGTGGTCCTGCTTCTGCAGGACGTTAGCCCTCCCTTATAAGGAGCCTGGACTTGTTGTATGGGCAGTGGCAGCATTGAAATAGGTAAGTTTTAGATTTAATTTTTTTTAAGATTTATTTATTATTTTATTTATTTTTGGCTGCATCGGGTCTTAGTTGAGTCATGCGGGATCTTCGTTGAGGTGCATGAGCTTCTCTCTAGTTGTGGCGTGCAGGCTCCAGGGCACGTGGGCATTGTAGTTTGCAGCAGGCAGGCTCTCTAGTTGAGGCGCGCAAGCTCAGTAGTTGTGGCGCGTGGGCTTAGTTGCCCCGTGGCATGTGGGATCTTAGTTCCCTGACCAGGGATCAAACCCGTGTCCCCTGCATTGTAAGGCGGATTCTTTACCACTGGACCACCAGGGAAGTCCCTAGATTTAATTTTTAGAACTGTCTGGCTTGGAGGGAGAGGTAGGAGACAGGTCGCTCAGCTGGGAGACTGCTGCAGAAGTCTAAGGCAAGTCCACAGCAGCCCGATTCAGAACAGCCGAAAAGCGGCAACAGCCCAGATGGCTATCAGCGGATGGAAGGATAAACAAAATGTGGTCCATCCATACAATGGGATATTATTCCGTCACAAAGAGGACTGAAGCACTGACATGTCCTAAACCACAGATAAACCTTGAAAACTCAATGCTAAGGGAAAGAAGCCAGACACAAAAGACCACATAACGATTTTATATGAAATGTGGAGAATTGTCAAATCCATAGAGACAGAAAGTAGAGTAGTGGTTGCCTGGGGGCAGGGGAAGGAGGGAATGGGGCATGACTGCTTAGTGGGTGCGGGTTTTCCATTTGGGATGACGAAAATGCTCTGAAATGAGCCGTGATGGTTGCCCAACATCGTAAATATACTAAAAGCCCCTGAACTGTACCTTTTTTATTTTTTCACACACACACTGTATTTTATTTTTACAAGAGATAAACTGACACCAAGCATTGTAAATGAATGACCATAACAAAAGCAACAATGATTGCAATTACCAAACACAACAAAGGGTTATAGTTAATAAGCCAACAAAGGAGAGAAAATAGGGATTATAAAAATATTCAGTTAATCTGAAAGTGGAAACAGAAAAAACAAAGAACATATGGGATAAATAGAAAACAGCAAGATGGTAGACTTAAACCCAATTATATTGAGTCACATGAAATATAAATGGTCTAAACACCCAGTTAAAAGGCAGAGATGATCAGATTGGATAAAAAAGTAAGACCAAGCTATCCGCCTATCAGAAACCCTCTTTAAATATAAAGATACAAAAATATAAGAAATAAAAAGGATGGAAAAAGATATTCATGCTAACACTAATCAAAAGAAAATGGGAGTAGCTGCATTAATATCAGACAAAGTAGATTTCAGAGCAAAGACTATTACCAGGGATAAAGAGCGTCATTTCATAATAAAGGAGTCAGTTCATTGGGAGGATGTAACAGTCCTTAGCGTGTATGCACCTAATCATTGTTTCAAAATACATGAAACAAAAGCTGATAGAAGTACAAGGAGAAAGAGACAAATCCAAAATTATATTCAGAGATTTCAGCACAAATAAGTAATTGATAGAACAAATAGAAAAATCAATAAGCATGTAGAAGACTTGAATCACACTCTGCCAATTAACTTGAGCTAACTGACAGCTACAGAGCACTCCAATCACACACACACACACACACACACACGCACACACACACATTCTTTAAGTGCACACAGAACTGAGATATTCTATAACCTGGGCCATAAAGCAAGTCTCAATAAGTTTAAAAGAATTCAAGTCATATAAAGTATCCTCTATGACTACAGTGGAATTAAACAGAAAAATATTTGCAAAATCCCCCAATTTTTAGAAACTAAATAACACACTTCTAAATAAGCTATGGGTCAAAGAAGAAATCAAAAGGGAAATTAGAAAGTATTTTGAACTGAATGGAAATAAAAATACAAAATGCCAAAATTAGTAGGATATAACAAAGCAGTATTTAGAGAGAAATTTATTGCACTAAATGCGTATATTAGAAAAGCTTCTAAAACTAATAAGTGAGTTTAACAGGGTTGCAGAATACAGGGTCAGTATTCAAAAAATGTTTCCATATATGAGCAATGAACAATCAGATATCACAAATTTTAAATAATACCATTTACAATAGCATTATCAATAGAAGTTCTATATGTTGAAAACTATAAAATGTTACTGAGAGAAACCAGACCTAAATCGGTAGAGATATATACTATGTACATAAATCAGGAGATTCAACATTGTTAAGATGTTGGTTTTCCTCAGATTGATCTACAGTCAATAAAATCTCAATCATAACCCTGGAGGGATATTTTTTTTTCATTTTTTTTTGGTAGAAATCAGCAAGCTGATTCTCAAGTTCATATAGAAATTCAAAGGATCTAGAACAGCCAAAACAACTTTGAAAAAGAACAAAGGACTTAACACTACTGGAATTGAAGACCCAGACAAATATGGACATGAGATTTGTGATTGAATCCTTGGGTTAAAATGGTTTTAAACAAAACTTTTTTTTTTTTTTACATTTTTGCAAATTTCTTTAATGTCTGGCTTAATTGAGGAAGCCATATTTGCATAACTGCTTCTGCAGTCAGTCTCTGTGATGTGTTGCTGTAGTTGAAGTGTATGAAGAAAATCTAACCTCACGTGGACATCTACTTGGAAAAGAGGGAAATATTTTAATAGGCTTTTAAATAACTGTGGATATTCCTCTTTGCATGAGACTTGACAACTAGTAGTTTTTTAAAGGTTGTTACAGTGTGAAAACTGAATCTATATGGATGAATTTTTTCATAATCAGTTATGTTAAATTAATCCATTGGTCTACATTGCCTTTTTTGTTTTTAACATTGCATTTTGAATGGCTATCTTACCCATGCACAATTGTTAACATCTGGCAATTGTTATTGGTAAAGTACTGGTTCACTGAGTTATGCAGATCTTCCAACTGTTGACACATTTTTTTTTTATCCATTATCCAAAAATCGCGTTCTTTATCATCAACCATAACATCAGAAAAGTCTTTTGAGTATTGGAAAACTGTTAAGTCCATGGTGGCAGATACAGTGTTACAAAGTTCTAGTTTCTACTTGAAAGTTCAAATGTTATAAATGTATTTATCAAAATGCTTTCAGTTGTTTTCCCTGAAGTGCCAGGCTTCATTCTTTTTTTAGAAAATATCTGACAAATATTCACGTCGAAATAACCATATTTTGTCAGCGTACTTTCAAGTGAAAAAGATGTTCCAAGAAAAAGCAGCTAGTTCATCTTGTAATTCAAACTGAGACGTGTTAAATGATCTAGTTAGATGTGATTTAATTTTATTCCTTATTACGGTGAAGACCCGAGGGCGGAATCTGATTCTGAAACCGTGCTGGCCTCGGGACGGCGGAGGTCACATCTGCGTTTCCGGGACGTGTCGTGAGCTGGCCCGGGATGGTCCGGCACTGCCAGCCCGCTCATCGCTCCGGATTCACACTTTCATATTTCTTCAGAAATAAAATCTTTGGTTTTAGTGTACGAAAGCGACCCCCTGACTGTGGAGATCCAGATCCAGCTGATCCAGGGCCACTCGACGGAGGAGGCGCTTCGGATGCTTGTCCCGTAGGGCGCGGGATTAAAGGTTGTTCTGACACCGCGGCTCCGCGTCTGTCCAGCCGCCGCCGCGCGTCCGGGGAGCGGGGTGCTGGCCGTGGGGAGGAGCGGGGAGGGGGCCTGGCCGGGAGGAGCGGGGGAATGGCCGTGGCGAGCGGGGAGCCTGGCCGTGGGGAGCGGGGGTGGAGCTGGCCAGGGAGGAGAGGAAAGCTGGCCGGAGGAGGCGGGGGGCTGGCCGGGGAGAGTGGGGTCGGCCTCCCCCGGGAGGGCTCCGCAGGGCCGGGCCTGTCAGCCGGCAGGTGCGCGGGGAGCTGCGCAGACCCAGGTGGGCGGGGACCCGCGGCGGCCCCGGGCCCGCCCCCAGAGACCGCGCCCTCAAGCCCGGCCTTCGCCGCTGGGTTGGTGGGCCGCGCGGGGGCGTGGCCAGCGAGCAAGGGTGGCCGCTGAGCCCTGCTCACCTTCCGCGCCCAGCGGAGAGAGCTGTGCTTACGCGGCTGCGCTGCGTTTGCTCCTCGATTGTGTCCGTTCGGCGTCTTGGCTCAGGTAGGTAGGCGAGGGGCGGGCGGTGTTTGGCCTGGGGCGCCTGGAGCCCCGCTGCTGGGAGGGGGCTGTCCACTGTGAGCGGAGGGACGCCGAGCCCCCGGCGGGAGGAGCCGACTTGGCAGCAGCGGGGTCGCGGTCGCACTGCCCCGCGGGAGCGGCCTCCCGCCTGCGGTGGACCGTCGGGGCCAGGTGGCCTCGTGCTGCCTGTCGGCTTCTGTTCGCCCCGCTGGGGCGAGAATGGCCGGAGCCGCGGGTTGTGGACGGGGCAGCCTGGAGCGCTTGCTCCGGAGTCCCCGACGGGCAGCGCCGCTCGCTGTGCTCAGGCCCGGTGGGGTGTCCCCCCGCGGGGCTCTGGTCCTTGCTCTGGCGACCCCACGGGCCTTTGCGCCTCCACAAGAGCCCTTTAGAGGCTGTCGTGTGGAGAGAATGAACCAGCCCTTGACCCTTTCCCTCATCAAAGCGTGATGGGTCATCGAGCCCTGTGAGGACCCCAGAAGCAATTTCAGACCCTTAGGGCTCAGCACCCACTTGGAGGGGGGCGTGCACTCGCTGAAGCCCGTGCCGGTTAAGGACCAGGCTTGGGGGCTCACAGAGCGGAGGGAGGCTTACGCTTAGCAGGTACTGAATGGGATTCACAAGCAGGTGTGTGGAGTGGGGAGCAGAGGAACGGCCGCCGCCACTGCGGTGGGGAGCTTCGGGTTAGTTCCCGCAGTGAAGCGCCTGGGGGATTGGGTGCATTGGGAGCGCTGAGGACAAAGGGGAAATCAGGTCCACGGCGCATCTCAGCCTGGGCCTCTGAAACGCACAAGTCAAAACCAAACAGCTGGCTTTGCGCCCTTCTCGGTAAGTGGCACCACCAACCCGCCCCCCACTCTTTCCCCTCCCCGGGTGCCCTCACCCACAGCAGGCGTAGCTCCCACACCTGAAATCCATTTTCCACGCCTGAAATCCATCTGGTTTTCACGTGCTCCATGGCCCGCACCCTAGTCTCAGCTGCGGCTGGTTACTGACTAATGCAAGAGTTTGCTAGCTGGTCTCCTGTTACCACTTTTGCGCTTCCACAATCCATCATCTAAGCTGCAGCAGTAGTGACCTTCCAAACAATGTAAATTCTTATTACTGCCTCTGTTAAATCCTCCGACGTATCTCCGTGGTGCTTACAATAAAACACAGGCTCTTTCCCCAGACTTTCCCCATGGATGTTGCACGTGACCCTCCTCAGGCTACTGCTCCCGCTTCACCACCTAGCACTTTCCTCCTTGTTCTTTCCGGTCCAGCCACGCTACACACCTCCTGTCCTGCTTCAGGAGCTCTGCACGTAACTATTCCCTCTGCCCGGCCCACTCTCCCCACCGCGCCCCCCCGCCCCCACCAGGTCTTTATGTGGTTTGGTCCCTTATCTTGTTCAGGTCTTGCTCAAGTGTTCTTTTTCAGGGATGGCTTTCTAAACTACCGTGCGCTCAAAGAGCCTCTCCGGTCACTCTATTCCATCACACTGCTTTAATTTCTTCTCCGCACTCCCTGAAGTTCGTACTGGTTTCTCGGTCTCTTTGTGAGAGCTGGGACCTGTCTGTCTTGCCTGCCACTGCATCCCTGGCAGCTAGAAGAGATGCTTTTGTGGCAGTGGTGGCAGGGACAACCGGGATGAGGCTAATGCGGGTAGACCGGATGGAAGTGATGGCCAGCTGGACCAGGACACGGCAGGGGGAGGGGACGAGGAGGGGACTGATGGCTGGCTACTGTGGCTCTTGGGCAGGTTACTGTACTAAGTTACCATTTCTCAGCTTTCTCTTTGTATTGCTGGGAGACTTGCTGAGAGAAAACCAGAACTCGGTAAGCGGTAGAACTGGTGAGGGGTGGCCGCAGGGGAGCCATCCTGGTACAAGTCTATGGCTTTCCTATTTGCTTTCATGCTCTTCCCGTGCGTGTTGTTTTTTTGTTTTTTTCCTAAAGCTCCATTTAAACGACTCCCCAGGAAACTCAAACTACTTCAGGCAAACCTTGTACCAGTATGTGTTAACTGGGTGTGTTCTGTGGTGGCTTCCGCCACCTGCTGCCACCCTGCAGTGGTTTCCTCTCCCTGGAGGAGCAAACTCCCTAAGGGCAGTGCCAGGGGCTATCATCTCTCAGACATGAAATGCAGGGCCTGCCACCACGCTAGACTTTTTTTTGGGGGGGGGAAATAAGCTGTGCCACTTTCACTAAAGCTCATTAGGTACTTGAGTTTCGTGGGAAATGCTGAAAACACTTGTGGTGCCTCAGTTTTAAAGTGGCTGCAAGTCCTTTTGGAGAAAAAGTTGACCCAAGAGTCCCCTAATGACAGAAGGGAAGCGAGGGCTGGCATAACAGGTGTGTTTGGTCTGTCCTCTGGGAGAGGGACTCTGGAAAGAGCCGGAGGACACGCTGAAGAAGATAAAAGGACCTAGCTGCTGGGCCGTGGGTTGCTCTTGGGACCGGGGAGGTGGAGGCCGGGCCGGCGCCGGGCTCAGTCCGCTCACCGGCTCTCTCCTTGCAGGCCCTGCCATGTTCCGCAGGGTAGGCTGGCTGGTCCTGTACAGCCTTGCTGTGCTGCTGCTGAGCTGCCTGTTCTTCCTGAAGAAGGAGGGCCACCCAGCGGGGGGCCCCATGGCCCGACAGCCCTTCTGGGCTCCCCCAGGGCCCCGGCGCAGCCAGTGTCCACCCAACCACACGGTGGCCAATGCCTCCCTGTTCCTGCCTAACCGTCACCGCCTCTTCTTGACCTATCGTCACTGCCGCAACTTTTCCATCTTGCTGGAGCCTTCGGGCTGTGCCGAGGACACCTTTCTGCTCCTGGCCATCAAGTCACAGCCTGGCCATGTGGAGCGGCGTGCGGCCATCCGCAGCACGTGGGGCCGCGCAGGAAGCTGGGCTAAGGGCCGGCAGCTGAAGCTGGTGTTCCTCCTGGGGGTGGCGGGATCTGTGCCCCCAGCCCAGCTGCTGGCCTACGAGAGTCGGGAGTTTGATGATATCCTACAGTGGGACTTTGCTGAGGACTTTTTCAACCTGACACTCAAGGAGCTGCACTTGCAGCGCTGGGTGGCAGCTGTCTGCTCCCAGGCCCATTTCATGCTAAAGGGAGATGATGATGTCTTTGTCCATGTCCCCAATGTGTTGGAGTTCCTGGATGGCTGGGACCCAGCCCAGGACCTACTGGTGGGAGATGTCATCCGCCAGGCCCTGCCCAACAGGAACACCAAGGTCAAATATTTCATCCCACCCTCCATGTATAGGGCCCACCACTACCCACCCTATGCTGGGGGTGGAGGGTATGTCATGTCCAGAGCCACTGTGCAGCACCTCCAAGCAGCCGTGGAAGAGGCTGAACTCTTCCCCATTGATGACGTCTTTGTGGGGATGTGCCTGAAAAAGCTGGGGGTGAGCCCCATGCACCATGCTGGCTTCAAGACATTTGGAATAAGGCGGCCCCTGGACCCTCGGGACCCCTGCCTGTACAGAGGGCTCCTTCTGGTGCACCGCCTCAGCCCCCTGGAGATGTGGACCATGTGGGCACTGGTAACAGATGAGGGGCTCAAGTGTGCAGCTGCCCCCTTGTCCCAGCTTCGAGGGGTGGGTTGAGCGAGTAGACTTAATTTTGCAATCATGATGAGAAATCGCGAACCGTGAAACTTGGCCCTTGATGGGTCTACAAGAAATGCTGACTTTGTTTTTGTAACCTCCTCCCAAACCTTGCTAACTCTGATTAAAACACTGAAACCTGGCTAACTTGTCCCAGTATGTGTTAAATGGGCAAATGCTGCCATCACTCCATGGGGGGACTCCTGGAGCCCCTTGGGGCTCTTCCAGTCTGGAGAGGGTGGTGAAGGAGGGAGGCTGCCTAGGGCTCCAAAAGACACACACAAACATCTTTTTTAAATGCAAAAAAAAATTATTCTCCTTTAGATACAACGAGAAACTCCAAGGAAAAAAGGAAACGAGAAGTGTGTGTTGGAATAAGTTCTGTTAAGAGCACCAGGTAAACACTCTGCTCCAGTCCCTGGGCTTTTGGGCTTTTGGCTCCTTGGCCTGAGTTGTCCTTACAGGGTAATGGGGCCAGGTCACAGAAGGCATTAGAAACACTTACCAAAAAGAAATCTTACAAACACACAGGCTCCCCTTGCCCCAAAAAACTCATCCCTATGGAGGGAGCAAATACTAAGTCATATTTGAAAATGTAGATGGGAAACTGAGATTTAACAGCTACTAGTGGACATGACAGAGAAGGCCCCTTCTCTCTGGCCAGGTTGGTGAGATGCTCTGGGTGGGAGGTAAAAAGATCGATGGGTGAGAGGGCAGCTCTGCTGAGCAGGGTGAAATGTTAAACGGGGTGCAGTGCCCTGCAGGGCTAAGAACCAGGTCCAGTAGAAGCCTGAGACTGTGGAGATAGGGGTCAGGCACTCACAGCTCACAATGACCTCTGGTCTGATGGGCCAGGGCAGGACCTGCCTGCCATGCCTCTGTGCGGAGAGAAAGCTGTGCTGACCTGGGGCTGGATGGCGTCTGCCCTTGCTTTCCCCAGGCCGAGTGGGCAGACGTGGGCAGCAGCTCAGGCCCTCAATCCTCACGCAGGTAGGCCTCCTGCTCCGGCTCAGCCCTCTCATCCCCTTCCTCCTGTGTTTTCTGTCGGAGTTCTTCTGTCTGTGCTTCTGCCAACTTGGTTTCTGCTTTCTGGGAAAGCTGGCGCACCTCCTGCACCTGCGATCTCACCAGCTGGATATGACTCCTGGCGGTTACAGAGGCCTGGTCCGCTCCTGCCAAAAGATAGGCCACTTATGCTGAGTGGACACAAGGAGAGCCTGGGGGCTCTGTGGTTGTCATCTGAGCCTTTCTTGGGGCCACTTCCCCTGCCCTCCCTGCAAAGCAGAGAACCCTCTACCCTCCACATCCAGGTCTGCATTTTACTCTTTATTGTCAAAACCCTGGCATTTTCCTCCAGCTATCAGCAGCCATCATTGTTACAATTATCAAATGCAATTCCCACAATCATCTTTATAGCTACTCAGCTCTTAGTATAGATGTTTTAAGATTTTAATTTTTTTAACTGCACAATACATTTCTTTTTGACAAATGAAGAGATCACTAATAAAATTGTCAAACATCTCTTTCCTCACCCTACCGAATCTTCAGAGATAACACCTTTTAGAAGTTTAAAGGGCACCTTCCTCATCCTTTAAAATGTTACTATAAAGTAACATTTCATCTATTTACTAGATGGGCTGCTGTCCAATTCATGAACTGTTGAATAAAGCCAATTAGATCTTTTTAAAAAAGTTCCTACATTCATATGGAATACACAGAAAAAAATTTTATGACTATAAATCTACATAATGGCACAAACAGTATTTATTGAACATATTTTGCAATTTTGTTTTTGAGCGCTATCATTTTACCTGCTGCTAGTGTATTTCATAATATAGATATCCGTATTTATTAATTCATCTACAGAACACTCAAGCAGTTCTTTTCTATGTTATTGCATTAATGAGAACCTTTAGTACGATGTAGAAAGACAGTGGAGGATAGCAGGTGTCCTTTTATTTCTGACGTTGATGGAAATGCTTCTCACATTTCACTATGAAATAGGATTATTTAACCATCATGTTTAGAACATTCTCTCTATAATTGTACTCAGATTTAAATCGGAAATGGGCACTACATTTTACTGAAGGCTTCTGGGGCATACACTGATATGATTACACAAGTGGCTTTTCTCCTATAATCTACTGTAGATAATCTCAAGTAGTGAATTAAATGTTGATAGGGTTTTTGTTTTGCTATATGTAGATTTTTTTAAAATTTTATTTTTATTGAAATGTAGTTGATATACAATGTTGTGTTAGTTACTGCTGCACAGCAAAGTGATTCAGTTACACATATATATGCATTTTTTAAGATATTCTTTTCCATTATGGTTTATCATAAGATATTGAATAGAGTTCCTTGTGCAATACAGTAGGACCTTGTTGTTTATCCATCCTATATATAAAAGCTTACATCTGCTAACCCCAGCCTCCCACTCCATCCCTCCCCTAATGCCCTCGGCAACCACCAGTCTGTTCTCTATGTCCCTGATGTTGTTTCTGTTTCATAGATAAGTTCATTTATGTCATATTTTGGATTCCACATATAAGTGGTATCATACGGTATTTGTCTTTCTCTGACTTACTTCACCTAGTATGATAATCTCTAGTCGCATCCATGTTGCTGCAAATAGCATTATTTCGTTCTTTTTTATGGCTGAGTAGTATTCCATTGTATATATCTACATCTTCTTTATCCATTCATCTGTCAATGGAGATTTAAGTTGTTTCCATGCCTTGGCTATTGTGAATAGTGCTGCTGTGAACATAGGGGTGCATGTATTTTTTTTTTTTTGCATGTATTTTTTGAATTATAGTTTTGTCCAGATACATGCCCAGGAGTGGGATTGCTGGATCATATGGTGACTCTATTTTTAGCTTTCTGAGGAACCTCCATACAGTCTTCCACAGTGGCTGCACCAACTTACGTTCCCACCAACAGTGTAGGAGAGTTCCCTTTTCTCCACACCCTCCCCGGCATTTGTTATTTGTAGACTTTTTATTGATGGCCATTCTGACTGGCGTGGGGTGGTACCTCATTGTAGTTTTGATTTACATTTCTCTAATAATTAGCGATGTTGAGCATCTTTTCATGTGTCTATTGGCTGTATGTATTTCTTCTTTGGAGAAATGTCTGATTAAATGTTCTGTCCATTTTTCGATTGGGTTGTTTGCTTTTTTGTTGTTGAGTTGTAGGAGCTGTTTACATATTTTGGAAATTAAGCCCTTGTTAGTCACGTTGTTTGCAAATATTTTCTACCACTGTGTAGGTTGTCTTTTTGTTTTGTTTATGGTTTCCTTTGCTGTACAAAAGCTTTTAAATTTGATTAAGTCCCATTTGTTTACTTTTGTTTTTATTTCCATTGCCTTGGGAGACTGACCTAAGAAAACATTGCTATGATTTATGTCAGAGAATGTTGTGTCTATGTTCTCTTGATAGGTTTTTTAATATTGAATTATCATTTTATTTTGAAGATAAATGGCTATATTTGATTTATATCTATATTCATAAGTGATACTGAACTATAGTTTTTTTGTTCTGGTGCTGGGCAAGTCCAGTTTGGGATCAGGCCTATGCTGGTTTTAGACAATTATAATAGTTGGGAGGCTTGTCATCATTTTTTGGTACACTTTCTGTAACACAGGAATTGTGTTTCTTGAAGATTTAATAAAACTCTCCCACAAAACTGCCTGGGCTTAGTGTCTACTTTGGGGGAACAGATTCTTTGTGAATACTATTTCAACTTTTGTGGTTAGTGATCTTACTTAGATTCTTTACTTCTTGGGCCAACTCAGGATTTACATAAAGATCATAATATTCTCGTATGATTAAAAAAACCCTCCATATCTATAATAGCTCCTTCTGATGTTACTTTTGCTCTCTAAAAAGTTATACTTGCCAAACCTAATTTTTTTTTTTTTCAAACCTAATTTTTAAATTCTTTTCAAGGAACCGGAGTTTGCCTTTTTGACTATTTATTTTTGGCTGCGTTGTGTCTTCATTGCTGCACACAGGCTTTCTCTAATTGTGGCAAGCGGGGGCTGCTCTTCATTATGGTGTGTGGGCTTCTCATTGCAGTGGCTTCTCTTGTTGCGGTGCACGGGCTCTAGGCGTGCAGGCTTCAGTAGCTGTGGCACGCAGGCTCAGCAGTTGTGGCTTGCGGGCTCTAGAGCACAGGCTCAGTAGTTGTGGAGCACGGGCTTAGTTGCTCCACGGCATGTGGCATCTTCCCAGACCAGGGCTCGAACCTGTGTCCCCTGCATTGGCAGGTGGATTCTTAACCACTGCACCACCAGGGAAGTCCCTATTTCTTTTTAGTCTTCTTATACCTTTTCTTTTATTCCACATTGTCTGAATTTATTTTGCTTTCTCTAACTTACTGGGTTAAAAGTTTAATTTATTTTCAGTTCTTCTTAGTACAGTGAACATTACCTGTCACTTATGGCTGCTGTTCTTTTTATTTATGACATGTGCCTTTAAATAAGGGTCAATTTCTATTTAAGAGCTACTTTGTATACAACTCTCTGGGTCTGCTATATACAAGACTTATGACAGTTCTAAATACTTTTAAATTTCCATTTTTCTTTATTGAGGTATAGTTGATTTACAATAGTATATAAGTTTTAGGTGTACAACATAGTTATTCACAATTTTTAAAGGTTCTAATCCATTTATAGTTACTATAAAATACTGGCTATGTTTTCTGTTCAGTATATCCTTGCAGCTTATTTATTTAATACATAGTAGTTTATACCTCTTCATCCTCTCCCCACTGGTAACCACTAGTTTGTTCTTTGTTCTCTGTGAGTCTGTTTTGTTATATTCACTAGTTTATTTTTTAGATTCCACATATAAGTGATATACAGTATTTGTCTTTGTGTCTGACTTATTTCACTAAGACTAAACCTTGCAAGTCCATCCATGTTGTTGCAAATGGCAAAATTTCATTCTTTTATGGCTGAGTAATATTCCACTGTATATATACACCACATCTTTATCCATTCATCTGTTGATGGACACTTAGGTTGCTTCCAAATCTTGGCTATTGTAAATAATGCTGCTATGAACATTGGGGTGCATATTTCTTTTTGAATTCACAGTTTCATTTTCTTCAGAGATATACCTAGGAGTGGAAAGGAA